CTTGGGACATTGTGTCTGCAATGTTTGAATGCAAACCAGAGCAGGAATTGAGTCTGGAAGCTCTGAAAGCATGTCTGATAGCTTCAAAGCAGAAACACCTTCTTCTTCTTTTTCTTCAGCGTTTGTCTCGCGCTCGGGCGAGGTCCGCTAATGTCCTTAAGTACTGCTTCCACACCTCTCTGTCTACCACGTATGTCGGGTCTGCCTTCGCGATCTCTAGATCGGCCTTGATCGTGTCCATCCAGCGTTGCTTAGGTCTACCACGTGGTCTCGCTCCTCCGACAGTCACCTTCATTGCAGATTTGATGATAGATTCTTCCTTGGTGCGGCTCACGTGGCCGAACCATCGTAGCCGGGACTGCCTCATGACCGCCTCATTATGAAAAAAACCTCAAGGAGGAAAAATTCCTGAAGAGTGGGCCCAAAAGGAGCAATGGAAAGTTCTACAGCCAGGCTGTTTGCAGAGAGCAACACAGAGATAACAGTCGTGGAATTTCCAGAGACCAAAACAGCAGTAAAGGATATCAGATAACAACCCAGCAACAGAAGAGGTGCTTAGTTTCTACTCACTTAAAGAAGGACAGCTTGCAAGACAGAAGAATTTTGCAAGGACAGGTTGATGGACAAATTGCAATAGCAAAAGTCAACTCTTGCAGGAGAGATCAATGGTTATCAACAGTGGGGCTAGCCAAATGATTATTAATAATGCTAAATTGTTTAACAGTGTTGCAGAAAATGACAAGACTCAGGTCTCAGAATCAAGAATAATTGCTTTTATTTGCACAAAGGTTCAGAGCAATTTAGCCAAAGCAACATCTTAACAACTTCCTATAGATTTGACACTCTCATATATACACTTCAGAAGCTGCAAACCACAGAAATATAACTTGTCAGTCATTCATTGGTTACTTTGATTTCCAGCCCCCCACCCCACCCCGTTGCTGGGCTAGAGTAGCTAGATGTCACAAATGCCTTGCTAAACCATCTTGCTAAATTATCTCGCTTCCTGCAGTTCTGTTTGTGGTTTTGTTGCAAATGAGACCTACAGTTATCTGTAACAAGCTTCCTTCTTGACAAATATGAATGACTGGAAGATGATCTTGTAGTTTGGCATTTCACATTTCCTTGTTCTTTCTCTTGCTAATACCCATTTCACTATCTATAAGATTTATATCATTATTTCTCTAAAATCAATATATTTCTTCTTTTATGTCCTGCTTCAACAGGATGGATGCAGCTGCAGGAGACACAGTAGGCTTGGCAAATGGCAAGAAGGCTAAAGTCATTGGAACAGGCAGTGTGCAAATTACATATTTGGGAACAAAGTTTAACAATGTTTTATGATTGCCAGAAATGGAACATAATTTGCTGAGTGTCTCTAGTTTAGACATCGCATTTGTAAATGGGCAGTGTCTTATAAAGAAAAATGGAATTGTATGTGCAAAGGGCATAAAGCATGATAATCTTTATATGTTACAGGGACAAAAAGTTCAATGTGCACAGACATTTGGCAATGTTGCAAAACAGGATTCATGTGTTCATCTTTTGTACAGAAAGGTTGGTCATTCCAACTTCCAAGTTGTTCCAAAAATGGACCAGTATGCAGAAATATTGTATGTAAAGGGATGTAAGGTGTATTTGGATTGTACAGTATGCAACATATCAAAGTCCAAGACATTCCCAGTAAGCAAGAGTAGCACAAGGCACACAATAAAAGCTTTAGAGCTGGTACATGCAGATTTTCTGGGCCCAATGGAAGCTAGTTTGGGAGGAGATAAGTATGTGCTGGTCATTGTAGATGACTATAACAGGTTTGCATTATGCTATTTATTAAAGAGTAAAACAGAGGTGCTACAAAAATTTAAGCAATGGGTAAGCTTTGTAGAAAGAAGGTATAAACAATTATGTCAGCTGCAAACTGACAGGTTCAGAATTTATGTCAACAAGTTTTCAACAGTGGATGGCACAGTTAGGAATAAAACACAGTCACACAAATCCTTACACAGCAGCTGAGAATGATGTTGCTGAGAGATGGAACTGTGTCTGGCAAACCATGAAAGACTCACTGATAGAGGATTCTGGTCTAAGCAGGTCATATTGGGGTGAAGCTATACTGACTGCTAATTATTTAGTTAGTAGGTTGTGGAGTTTCTCCATTAATGATACTCTATATGCAGTGCTATATGGGAGAAAACTACCTCTAGCACATTTAAGGGTGTTTGGAAGAAATGTGTGGGTGCATATTCCAAAGGCAATTAGAAGACAGGGGCAAACAAAGGCTAGAAAGCTCAGGTTTGTGATCTCTGACCCAAGCTCAAAGAGTTATCATTTTAGCGATGGGAATAAAAGAATAGTGTTTTCAAGGTCTGCAAGTTTTGCAGAGCAAAACTGAACAAAATTGATGCAAATTTGTGGAATGATTCACTTACTGATGGTAACTCACTTAATGATAGTAACTCACTTAGTGATGGTGTCAATATTCAGGGAGGAGAAGCTGAACAAGATATGAAGCAAGAGAGGGTTGACACACAGGAACAATCAGTGCCACACAGGTCAGAGCAATGAAACAAGGGGATTCCACTTGACAGGTATTCCACTAGCAAAGTTAAAGTGTGTAATGTATGGTATAAGCCAAGGAACTACAAAGAAGTATTGGTATTATCTAAAATTAAACAAGTGGAAAGAAACCATGGACAAGGAAATGAAATCCATTTCATGGATGGGGAACATGAAGTGTTCACATCTATGACTTTGCCACAGGGTAGCAAAGCTGTAGGATGCAAATGGGTATACAAGAAAAAGGTACTACCCAATAATGAAGTACAATATAAAGCAAAGTTAGTGGCACTGGGGTTTTCACAGATGAAAAATGTGCACTATGATGAGGTATTCGTGCCAACTGTAAAGAGTGAGAGCATCAGGCTGGTACTAGCATTGGCAGCAGCACATGGCCATAAAATTTGGCATTTTGACATAATCACTGCATTTCTCTATGCAGAATTAGAGGAAGAAATTTACATGGTTCAAGCACCAGGGTATGAAAGTAAAAAGCCTAACACAATATATAAATTGAACAAGCCATTTTGGGCTGAAGCCAGGAATTTGAATATATGCCTAGATAAGGCAGGGGTGGGATTCTACCAGTTCTGTCCACCTCTGTAGAACTGGTAGTTCTGAAGAGCAGCAGACAGAGAGCATACACAGAACCAGTTCTATGTCGGCTGCTGTTTTGGCCTACCTGCCCGGGCTCTTACTTGACTTTTATTTCCTGTTTTTTTCAGGAAATAAGCAGCTGCTTTTTGTGACACAGCTGTGGTTGAAAAAGCAGGGAAAAAGGGCTTTTCCAACCGCTGCTCACTTGCACACAGTGCTGTTCAGCTATCCAGGAAGCTCAGCAGGTCATAAATTGCACTTGCACAACTTGCGCAACTCGTGCACATGTGCGTATGATGCAGAGTAACAGAACCGGTAGTTATACCGGTTGGATCCCATTCCTGAGATAAAGCATTAAAGGGTCTTGGGTTCAAGAGTTACAAGGCTGATAGTTGCATATCCACTGGGAAGTTAAAAGGTGGGGATCAATTGGATAGTTGCATTGGATAGGTATAAAAAGGGAATTCTCAGGTACTTGGAGGGAATACAGGTATCTGAACAATATTAAAGGTAATTGAATTTATGTCTATTCCAGTTATGAAGGGAGGAGTGTCAGAGTATATTCATGAACCAGAATAGAGCATGGTAACAAGGTCAGCCAATGGATAGGCATAGCAGCTAAGTCAGCCAATGAGGACTGTTTTGGAAATTGAAACTAGAATTAGCCTAGGCTGGAAAGTGAAACTTGAAGTAGCTTAGGTGTGGTTCTATATTAACCTCTGAAGCTATGTTGAGCTCTGAGTCTATCTATTGAAAATGAAACTACTTCTCTGCTGTGTATAATGCTTGCCTGCTGAACTAAATGTCTGTTTCTGAGCTCCTGAGTTGCTACTGAAACTCTGCACTTGCAACATGTTTCTGCCTGAGTTTGCTCCATGTTAGAGAAAACTATAACTGGTTTGTAAAATCTGTAATGATGTTAAATGAAGCATCAGCCATCTATGTTTATTTTTCTAGCTCTAAATTAATGCTGCAAAACTCTGAACAATACGTACATATGTAGGTGTTCTGTCTCACTTGTAGCCACAACTGAGAGTCCAAATGTCCCAAAGAAATAGACACGAATAAATAATACCAGAAACCACAGAGTTAACTTGTCTCTTTAATCATCATTGGCAGCTTTCCCAGAAACTGTCTTCAAGCTGAGATAACGCAAGATAAATCAGGAAAAGAGGCTTCTTCAAAGCTGCACAGTAATTAATGAAGTTTGATCCAGACAAGGATCATTAACTATCATGCCTCCTTATATTCCTTGAAGGGGCGTGTCAGTCTCTCTAATTAGTCTCTGACTTGACATTTCTTTTCAAATTGTGCTTGACGTCTCAACCTGCATCTAGTCCTTGCATCAACCCAACATTCGTCATCACTCAAGGACTTGGGTATATTCTGTGGATCAGCTGCTGACACCTGAGGCATGATTGAAGTGGAAGGTTCTGGAGAGGAGGGTGTTTCCAACACTCCCTCATCCTCCTGGCTCACGTCTGCATCTCTCATTAGAGCAGGCTCCAATTCCAATGCCAAACCTTCCTCATCACTTGACCCTGTGCCTTCTGATACATCAGACTCAAAGCTCACAGCAGGCTCAAACCTTCCAGTCACAACATGTAGGTATGCATTGAAATTGTATAACTACCCAAGTTATTTTATTGAACATCACCCTGGTCATTTATTATCATTTATTGTCACAAATAATAATCAGCACAGTGAACAAATGTAATCAGCACACTAAACAAATAATAATCAGCACAGTAAAAATATCAGCACAGTAAAAATGCTAAAATCCCCTGTTGCCACAAAACTAACATTTCCATATACATTCAAAAATAACTTTAGAATTTCACAAGGTTTCAGCCCGAGAATATTCCAAGGCTGATAGAAAAAGCCAGATCATTTGGCTGTTTGGAAGGCCCTGGCTTTTAGGCAGGGGTGGGATTCTATCAGTTTGCATCTATTCACTAGAACCGTTTGTTAACATTCTAAGCAGTTCAGAGGACTGGTTGTTAGAAGAAATTACTGACCTAATCCTGTAAGGAAGGCAGGAAGGAAACATTCTGGTGTTGCTCACAGAAACCACCTCTCCGTTAACCCTTATTACATTCTTGGCAGGATTAGACTTCCTGTCTCTGGAAGTTCTCTGGAGTTTTTTTCCCCTCCTTTGCTAGTACTTTACTTGTGTGGAGTGACCATTCAAAGTTACAATGGCACCAAAAAACATGACTTATAACCTTTTTTCACATTTACGATTGTTGCAGCATCCCCACAGTCATGAGAGGCCAGGCATGGAGATGGTGCCTCGATGTGAGTGATATTGAGTTGGCCATGCCCAGCCAATAACATTACCACCAAGCCACATCCACCCAGTCACATTACCACCAAGCCAAGCCCACCAACTAAGCCATGCCCACAGAAGCTGTTATTAAAAAATTGAATCCCACCCCTGCTTATAAGACTAGAGAAGAGCATCCCGAAAGGTATGGCTGTTACCCAGAAGATGTGCTGCCTGTTGCATGACAATATTGAAGAGATAGAACATGGCTTGCATCCACTCCAGAGGTGGTATTCAGCAGGTTCTGACTAGTTCTGGAGAACTAGTCTAGTAGAAATTTTGAGTAGTTCAGAGAACCGGCAAATACCACTTCTGACTGGAGATTTTACAGTATCCCTCCTCTCCTACACCCACTAAGCCATGCCCACCAAACCGGTAGTAAAAAAAATAGAATCCCACCATGGATGCACTCCTCCAATAGTAGCCACATGGTTGCACCCATTTCACCATGGACCCCCACCACAGCTGACCAATCAAGGCCATTTATCCTTAGCTGACCTTCTACCATCATTTGTCTCTCTCTCTCTCACACACACACATACATACATACTTACATACACACACACACACACACACACACAGTCTTAATGCCACTGGTCCCAGGGGATTCTTCAAGAGACACTTGTCCCCAGCCAATTGGTTGCACAGGACAAATAGCTTTGGATCTCAGCAGAAATCATCATGCTTAGGAGTAAGCCATTGCCTTCTGATTGAAAGTGGTGGAACTGAGTGAGGTGGGAAGAGGTCTTGGGTGCCAGGGAGGCTAGGGATACAGCAATTCCTTTGTGGAGCAATTAAGCTGCTCCTCTCTGCCAGGAGCAAACGGAGGACATTCAGCTCCACCCTGTGGGTTCTGCTGCTGTTACTGCCAATTGTATCTTGTCTGACCTTGCTCTGAACCCAAGTCCTCTGGCACTGCAAGGAGGAGATAGGTGCAGAGTGAGGCCCGGCAGAATGCAACAGGTGGTGGTGGCAGCCACCTCCTAAAAGTCTTGGAAGGGAAGGCCTTGCCCCTCACTCTGGGGTGCCTCAAGCTCCACCAACCCAATGCAGGCAATCTTGAGGGGGTGAGGCAGCCAGCATCATGGCTGGCGTACTTGCTTATAACAGTAGAATTAGCCACAATTCAGAAAGTCTGGAGGAGGGAAATAATCTGGCTTCCATCCCCACACTGTTACATTTATTCTGAGATAGAATACTTGCAAAAAAAAAATTCAATACATACATCATAAAATAATCCATAGAATATAAATATCAATACATGAAAATTATGGAAATTTCAAAGAAGAAACACTACTCAAGAGAAATAATGGATATACAAAACTTGGTGTTTATACTAGGAACATTTTATTTGTAGGATTTAGTATTGATTTTTGTAGGCAATTTGAATAAAATCAGTTTTTTTCTCAAAATTTGTACTACATCCTTACATGGACCCATTCCCTCCTCATGTTTCAGATTTTCAATTTTAATGCAACAATTACCAGTCTTGTTTATGAAAAAACACTCCTAAAAATTATGCCCTCCTTCTCCCCCAAAGTCAATGATTTAAAATGTGGAGAATAAAAAAAGAAGATACTAAAAAAGAGAAATAATGATAATCTACAAACTCATCATATCATGGACATAAACCCTTAGGAGGGTGCTAAAGAGTATTTGCAATGTGGGTGCTCAGGGTCTCATTTGGACAAGTGTCATGGGCATTGACATCCCTACCCATATGTGAAAATCGTAGGTGCTCACAACCTCACTGAGCATCACAGGCACTCATGTCCCACTCACATGAGTATTGCAGGCACTCATGGCCTCATTTGTGCAAGGAATGGATGTTCATGCATACATACACACCTACCTCTCTCACAAAATCACGCGATCTTCCCCTCTACTCTGTGCCATCAACCTGGAAAGTTTGGGGGACTCTGCATAGAGAATTGCGTGCCAAAACAACTAGAGTTGTCCCATCAATCAGCTGTACACCTAATTCTCAAAGAGCTGTCTATTGTCTACATATATTTATACATGTATTAAGGATGTAGTATCATTATTTATCCTTCATATTATCTTATCTACTTCCCTGTCTTATTGGTATAGGTGATGATGATGATGATGTTTTGTATGTGCATTAAGGTCTTCTGCACCAGAGACAAATTCCTTGTGTATTTAATTATACTTGAACAAATAAATAAATAAATAAAATAATGAATAAAGTAATAAATAACTAAATGCATAAATAAACACATTAATAAAATTTAAAGCTTGGGAAAAGACTGGATACTTTAGGAGAGAGAAATCATAGAAATAGGACAGTTTGCATGTATTATTAATATCTTTTCTTTATTAATTGTTCTTTGTTGTTGAGTTCTGGCTTAAGAATTATTGTGTAACATTTGGGAATATATATGCAGACCAACAACCCAGCACTTGAGGCCAAAATGGAGAAAACCTCCACAGCCACCATATATTTGCCTTTGGTGCTCAGGTAAGATGGAACAAAAGAGACCCACACACTGCAGAAGATCAGCATGCTGAAAGTGAGACATTTGGCCTCATTGAAACTGCTAGGGAGATTCCTGGACAAAAAAGCTACTGTGAAACTTGCAGCTGCCAGAAAGCCCATGTAGCCCAGGACACAGTAGAGCATGGTAGCTGAGCCTTCATTGCACTGCAGTATGATCTCCTCAGTTTCTGAATTGGTGTCAATGTCAGGGAAAGGAGGAAATGTGAGCAACCACACTGTACAGATGCCTGCTTGAACCAGGAAACCAGAAAAAACAATTGATGAAGCCAGTCTTCTTCCTACCCAGTTCCTCATCCTGGATCCTGGTTTGGTGGCTATAAAAGCTAGAACCACAATGATGGTTTTTGCTAGCACACAAGACACGGCCACTGAGAAGATGATGCCAAAACTAATTTGTCGAAGGAGGCATATTACATTTCCAGGAGCAACAAGGAACTGTAGTGAGCACAAGAAGCAGAGGAGGAGGGAGATAAGCAGAACATAGGTGAGATTTCGGTTATTGGCCTTGACAATAGGTGTGTTGTGATATTTTAAAAATGTTGCAAGCACCAAAATTGTGATGAGAGAAAACAAAAATACCAGAATGGCTAAACTTATTCCCATTGGTTCTTCGTAGGACAAAAAAGATACTTTCTTCAGAATACATGAATCTTGTTTCTTATTTGGATGTTGATTTTCTGGGCATTTGGAACAGTAATCCATGTCTATAATTTAAATATAAATGTTTAATACATGTATATACTTTTGATAATCATACTATTCTTAGTATCAATTTATATAAAACTCTGGAGGCAAGATTACATTACATGGACTCTTACATTATCCATTTGACTTTCGTCTGTTGTACTAGGTACATAATGAACATAAGAAAACATGGACATTCCTAAGGAAGAGAATGTTATTTACTTATGACTTCATTTCATATTTCTCATTTATTTGTGCTACATGTTGTTTGACTTTATTTTTGTTAGTTGTATTGTTACATGTTTATTGTTTTATCTCCAACAAGATCCTCTAGAAAACATTTTAATACACACACACACACACACACACACACAAGTTTTCTAGAGGATCTTGTTGAAGATATCTCTGTGTGTGTGTGTGTGTGTGCGCGTATATACAATTATGATTGTCTTTCCACCTGATAATTTTTATTTAATTTTGCTCATTTAGTATACTTAAAATATTATATTTTGTATTTTAAAAATAACATCAAACGTTTTTAAATAGGAAAAATTAATTCTCACATCCATTAATACAAGTTTTGCTGTAAGAAAAAGAGGAAAGGTATTCCCTATTCTCCTTACATTCAATATTTCTTTAAGGTTCTTGAAAGAAGTGGAAGAGATTGTGTTAAAATTAGAATGAAACATTGTTAACAAAATAAGACCACAACCCAATATAAGGGAAACAGAATGTTTCATAGATAGTTCTCACACAGTTAGAATTGTGAATTCAAAATTGTGTCCAAACCCCACTTTTACAAACTTTGTGGATTTCTTTCTCAGTCATGTATTTGCCATTTAAAGTCAGTATATGTTATCTTGTGCCTGATTCATTTTTTTCCTTCCCCTCATAGCAGAACAGAGAGATTGCCAGAAGAAACTACCCTTTCTTGAGTTGTTTTTCTCTACAAGGAGCAATTCCCCGAAAAATGCTAATTAGAAGTTAATAAATTGAGTTCTGTGGCCTTAAATAGTTGATTAGAAATATCTACCTGGCTCACATTGCTAGGTGTCACTGACAAAACCCTAATCAGATTTTACACTAAAAGCATTTGGTTGCTTCCTATGTGGCCTCTGGCTCACACCAACGTGTGACAGGAAAATTTTTGTCTTCATTTTACAATGTGTTTTACATTGTGATTACTTACTTTCTTGCAATCCTTTCCTCTCCAATTAATATAAATATAAACGTAATTTTCCTCTTGCTAATAATTGCAGCTCTGGCATTCCAAAGAGTGGGGGAATGGGGAAAATGTGCAATAGGTAGTCCTTGTCTAGTACCTGCCTTCTTTGGCAAATCATTCACAGTTACAATAGTAATTAAACTTTGTGATCAATCCTTGTATTTATGACCCTTTCAGATATGACCCTTTCAGATATATAGGGAAAAGAAAAACTGAAATAACATTATAAACATTGTTGCAGTCTCACTTAGCAACTCCATCTCTTAATGACAGAGTGGCAGGTCCAACTGTGATGTCAGATGCAAGGAACGAGTACAACTCAGGGAACAAAGCAAAGCTGTTTCTTTATTGCTGGTCATCCATTTATAAGATTCTTGCCAAAATGACTGAATTTCTTTGGGAAACTGCAGATAAAGGCTTCAATAGCCTGGCATCTGTTGTTTCTTCCCACAGAGTGACTCCATGCTGGGATGCCTTTTTTATTATCCTCTTTCCTTTAGACAGTGATTTCACCACATGTGGCCACTACATGAGAATCATAGTTTGTTATCATCTCAATTAACTGTGTGGGGTTTTGTGAAGATTTTTTAAATAAATAAAAATACTATCAAAAAGTTTTAAATAACTCCAAAAATAAGTTAATGTGCTTTACAAATGATATATTGAGCTGCGGTAGTGCAATGGTTAGAATGCAGTACTGCAGGATACTTCTGACTGCCAGATGCCTGCAATTTGGCAGTTCAAATCTCACCAGGCTCAAGGTTGGCTCAGCCATCTATCCTCCCAAAGTCAGTAAAATGAGGACCCAGATTAGTGGGGGGCAATATGCTGATTCTGTAAACTGCTTAGAGAGGGCTGTAAAGCACTGCCAAATCTAAATGCTATTGCTATATTTGCTGTGTCATTTAGGTACCCAACTGACATGAAGACTGTCCAGTTCAGGCCAGCCAGTTTTAAACTCTTAACTCTGCCTGAAGCCTTCCTTTCAATTGGTTGTGGATTTTTTCTTTATGCAAAGGGAAAACCTATTAATTGGTAAACTATAATTCAGGCCTCATACTTATGTTCATGGATCTGCCTTGGATGACGTGCAGAATTACAAGTCAATTTGGTTCACATTATCTCTTACCCTTCTGGCTTGACATTTTCTCTTTGGGACATGGAAGGCAATCATAGCAGCAAAATGGCTTTTCCTCCTGCTTTTTCTTGAAATAACCAGGAAGACAACTCTCAGTACAAACAGAATCAGGTATGGTCTGCCCAATATATGAAAGAAGAAAAGCATTAACTCATGTAGTTGGAAAAAAAACTGAAAAATCATGACTGAGTCCAATTCTGAAAATAGAGAGTGCTAATTTAAGGATTTGAATTTTTTTACTCTTCAATCTCATCATTAAAACTACTTGAGTGAATTCTTTTATTTTTCAATTCTACCAAGGATATAGGTAACCTTGTTTCTTTTATACTAGGAAATATATTATACTGGGGCCATTTCTCAGTGGTGAATCTTTTCAGTTGAACTCAAAAATGCTTTTCAAGATACTGGAGAGTATCCACTTATAATGCAAAACAACAATGTGTTATTATATAATGCAAAAATAAATAAATAAAGAAGAATAAATATTTTTTCAGAGTTTTTTTATGACAATTTAATGCAAAATACAATGAAGCACTTGAAAGGGATATTTAAGGTGATGGTTCTAGAGTTAAAAGACATCTAATAAAAAGACAAATGTTGAATGAAAGTTCAGGTGTGGAGAGTAACTACAGTCAACTGGTAGTAATCAAATTTATAGACAATGGTGAACAATTAAAACTATCGTTATAACTTAGTTTTTCTTAAACTTAGACTAGAGCAAATCATGGAATTAAATATGCAGAGCCAAAGACTTGGAGGTATTGCAGAATATCTAATTTTAGCTATAGCATTAATAATCTGTAATAATTACTTGAGCCAAAGATTTAGGAAAATATATTTGTGCTTTAAAAGCAGTTGCAGAGAATTAATTTGTCATTTAAAGGAAAAATGATATTGATGATACATTATTAGTTTTCTGCTAATAGGGCATATTATCTCTTATTATTTGCTAACAAGGCACATTAAACATTCTACTATCATCCCAGTGCTGAAGAAACCTTTCATCAAGGAACTGAATGACTACAGACCAGTTGTTCTGACAGCCATATTTATAAAAACCTTTGAAAGACAGGTGCTGGCCTACCTGAAAACAATCAGGGATCCGCTGTTAGACCCTTTGCAATTTGCCTACTGAGCAAATAGATTAGCAGATGATGCTATTAATATATCTCTGCATTACATCCTATAATATCTTGAATTTCCAAAGACCTATGCAAAGGTCCTCTTTGTAGACTTCAGATCAACATTCAATACCATTATTCCAGATATTTTTCTAACTAAATTAAATCAGCTAGCTGTGCCTCACCACACTTGGAAGTGGATCATAAGCTTCTTAACATCAGGAAGCAGCAGGTGAAGCTAGACAAAATCACATCAGATATCTGTACAATTAGCACAGCCCCCTCTCCCAGGGCTGTGTGCTCTCTTCAATTCTCTTCTTTGTATACCAATGACTGCATCTCAAAGGATCCCCTGTTAAAGTACTGAAGTTTGCAGATGATACAACAGTGATTGGTTTCATTTAAGACAATGACGAATCAGCATACAAATGGGAGGTTAAACAACTAGCCTTGTGAAACTGAATACACACAAAACCATAGAAATGATAGTAGACTTCAGGAGAAACATTCCCATATTACCACCTCTTACAGTACTAGACAACACAGTAGCAACAGTAGAGACCTTCAAGTTTCTAGGTTCTATTATATCTCAATATTTAAAATGGACACCTAACATCAAATACATCATCAAAAAAGCATAACAAAGAATGTTCTTCCTGTGTCAACTCAGAAAATTCAGGCTCCCCAAGGAGCTGCTGATACAAATCTACAGAGGAATTATTGAGTCTATCATCTGTACCTCTATAATGGTCTGGTTTGGCACTTCAACCAACCAAGACAAACACAGACATCAATGGATAATTAGAACTGCAGAAAAGAACAATTGCTACCAATCTGTTTTCCAGTGAGGATCTGTATACTGCACAAGCTAGAAAGAAGGCTGTGAAAATATCTAGAGACTCCTCAGAAATTGGACACAATTTCAACTTCTACCCTCAAAATGATGCTATAGGGCACTGAACATCAGAACAACTAGATACAGAGGGCGGAGCTGGCGTCATGGTGGTACAGCATGCGATCTTGAAGCTCTAAGATTGCCGCTGATATCTCTGTTGCAGGACGGTCCCACCAGACCTAAACCATCCTGTAGAGACAGTGACTGAGGAGGGCACATCCTGTCGATTCCAGGGATGCCAGAAAGTCCCTGGTAGATCCATGAGAAGCTCTTTTTTCCCGGGGCGGAGAGGCAGCCATTAAAGCTGCTGAAGCTGGGACAGCTCCAGAACAGAAGAAAGCTGGAAAGAAAGTGTGTCAGGTTGGTGAGATAAATTTCTACTGACTATTTTCTGGAGAGAACACCCTAAAAGACTAAAAGTAAAATTAAAAAGTGAAGATAAAAGTGGTCAAGTTGTGAGATTAAGCACAAATTAAACCTGAAGGTTTTTTCTTTTTATTGGAATTTGGATTTTTTGTAAAAGCTTTTTAATTTTTAAATTGGACTGGTCTTTCCTTTTTAACTTTTTTTTTTTTTAAAAAAATAACTCCTTGGAAAAGGTTTTTTTCTCTTCTTTTTAACAATTTTAGATTTTTTTTTAAATTTATTCCTGGCTTAAATATTAGAGGGGAAGGGAAAGGAAAGGGAAATAAGCAGCACTGCCTTCTGGAGGCTTGAATATATTGTTTTTCTTTCTTTCTTGTTGATACATTTGGTGTTATGTTCAAGGACTCTGAGTTTTTCACTGAAAAAATAGTGGGAAGAGCATGTAGATTGTTTATGCAGGTGTTCTTCTGTGGAACTACTGATAGCTGGAGTCTGGAGTTGAAATTGAAAGAAAGAAGTTTGAAGTGAGCTTGAAAAGAGAACTGGAAACATTGTTTTTTGAATTAGTAAAGAGCCTCGAATACTTAGTAGCAGTGCTTTGCTTACTGACAGAATTGCATTTTCTCCCTCTTTTTTTTTTTTTACTTTCCCTCCAGTTGGATTTTTATATTTGCATTTGAGTATTTTGATGCAGGAATAAGATTACATTTTTTCTTCCTCCCTCCTCTCTTTGCTTTACCTTTTTAGCAAGGGGAATATACAGATTTCTGTCTTTTTAATTTTTTTTAATTCTTTTATTTTTTCATCCTTTCTCCATTTTACATTTTTTCCTTTTTTCTTTTTATATAATTGGAACAAATTGGATTAAGATAGTCAAGTGCCTGAAGATTTTTTCCCTTCCCTTTTTTATTTTTATTTTTTGCTTTTACTTTTTATTGGAGTTGTCTGCTCTTGCTTTTTCTTCCCATTTTTTCTATTAAGTATTGTAAGATCAGCAGAAAGAAACCAGCCTCAGCTTCTTTAATCCTGACTTCTTCCTCCTCACCATCTGGAGGATAACAATCAATACAGGTGATGTTGCAATAGGAGAAGGAGAAGGAAGTGACACTGCAGATGATTATGCAAGGAATTTAAAAGATACAAGCAAAAACAGGTAACATTGAAAAGAGAACAGAAAACATTGAAAAGAGAATGGAGAATATTGAGCAAAAAACTGAAAAGACAGATGAGAAAATTGAAAATATCCAACAGATGATGATGTAATATGAAGACAGAATTAAGAAAATTGAAGAACAAAACATACAAAGAGATAATGGTAGATGAGATAAACCTAAAAGATGCATGGAGAGAGAGAAATGCAGAAAATAAACAATATACTTTTTATTCAAATAGACATGAATCATGGTCCAGAATAGATATGGTATGGATGTCAATAGAATTGCTCTCTAACATACAAGACATTGAAATAGAAACAAGTACTTGGGCAGATCATAACCCTATAACAGTTGTATGGAAAGGACAAAAAAGGAGATCCAGATGGAATTTAAATAATATGATATTAAAGGAAAAAGATTTTAAACAGAAAATTGAGAGAGAACTGACTTTCTTCTTTAAGGAAAACACAAAAGAGGATACATCATTACAGAACCTCTGTGACACGATGAAGGCTTATACAAGAGGCTTGATAATGGACTATACAAGGAAAAGAAATACAAAACAGAGAAAAACTTTTAAAATAATTGGAAGATGATTACAAGAGGCTGGAAAAAGAGCTACAGAAATTTCCACAAAAAAGGACATTAGAATTAAAATGGACATAACTAAACATAAAATGGGGCTAAACGAAAAAGAAGAAATAGCACAAAAAATTAAAAATGCTAAACAGAACTGTTTTGAAGATGCAAACAAACCAGGCAGATGGTTAGCATATAAATTGAGAAAGGAAAGAGATTGAGGAAGGAGAAATCAATTGATAAACGAACAAGGACATGTATGCTATGGAAATGTGGAGAAGAAAAAATTATTCAAGACTATTATGGAAAATTGTATTATCAAGAGAATGTTCAAGAACAAAGAATTCTACAATACTTACAGGAAGCAAATCTGCCCCAGACACCCAAAGATATTGAAATAATGTTAGAAAATAACATAACAATGATGCAATTAACAGAGGCTTTAAAAAAGCAAAATATTGGGAAAGCACCAGGTCCAGAAGGTTTGCCAGCGGAATTTTATAAGAAATTCCAGGAAACATTGAATCTTCATTTATTAGAAGTTATGAATGAAGTTATGACAAAGAAGAGAATACCCAAAACATGGTCAGAAGCATATATTATACTTATACTTAAACAATTTTATTCATTCTGATCAAAATGGATTTCTGCCGAAGAGACAAATAAAAGACAATATGAGAATAATTTTAGACACACTGGAATACTATGAGGCACATCCTGAAAAGCAAATGGCTTTGATGTTTTTGGATGCACAAGAAGCCTTTGATAATGTGAATTTGCGTTTTATGCTGCTACAATTGGACCAAATGGTCTTTGGTAAAAAATTTACCCAAGGCATAGAAATGATATATTGTAAACAAACTGCAAAAGTTATGATAAATGGAGAGTTAACAGACTTTATAGATATAAGAAAAGGGACTAGACAACGCTGTCCGCTGTTGTCTTTGTTGTTTATGTTAACACTGGAAGTGCTGAATAGGAACATCAGAGAAGAAAAAGAAATAAAAGAAATGAAAATTAAAAAAGAAGAGTATAAATTGCAAGCTTTTGCAGATGACCTGGTATTCATATTAGAGAATCCATTGGAGTCAGCACCAAAACTGATAGAAAAGATAGAAGAGTATAGGAAAGTAGCAGGTTTGAAAATAAATAAAGATGAAACAAAGATTTTAACAAAGAACATATTGGCAAGACAAAAGAAAGAATTGGAGGAAGTTTTGGGGATCTAGGTCACAAATAAGGTTAAATATTTAGGGATACACATAACACCAAGATGTAGCATGCTTAAAGAGAACAACTATCTTAAACTCAAACAACAGATTATGACACATTTGATAAAATGGGAAAATTTACAATTATCACTGTTTGGGAGAATATCTACAATTAAGATGACTGTATTGCCTAGAAACTTATATTTATTCCAGACAATTCCAATTAGACTAGGAAAAGAACTTTTTGAAGATCTAAATAAAATAGTGCTAAAATATATTTGGCAGGGGAAGAAAGTGAGAATAAAACTGTTACAAGATACAAGAATAAGAGGAGGATTCGCTTTGCCCAATTGAGAATTATATTACCAGGCGACGAGTTTGACGTGGGTAAAGGAGTGAATATCACTAAGGAATACTAGACTTTTGAATTTAGAAGGACATGACTTGCTGTTAGGGTGGCATGCCTTCGTCTGGTATAAGGGAACTAAAATGCAGGGGTATATTAGATGACATTATATTCAAGAAGCATTGTTTTTAAACTGGGAGAAGATAAAAAAGCGATATTATCTAAAAATTCCACTATGGTTATCTACTATTGAAGCTTTTTCTTATCCAATAATATATAAAAAGGAACAAACAGTTTGATATGGTGAGATATTGAATGAAAAGGGTGAACTTAAATCTATGCAAGCATTGGAAGAACAAGGTGTAAAAATGAATTGCTTTTCACGTTTGCAAATACAATCTAGATTTGATAAAGATATTAAAACAGAAGGTATCTATGATAAGTTGACTGATTTAGATAAAATTTTGACAGGTACTGATGAAAAAGTAATTAAAAAACTTTATGGACATTTGCTGGAGTTTAAATTAGAGGAAGAACAAGTTAAAGAAACAATGATTGTATGGGGGGAAAATTTTAGAGATGGGATTGATCTAGATAAATGGCAAAAATTGTGGTCTCAAAATTATAAAATGACAATGTCAACTGCATATAAATAAAATTTGTATAAGATGTTTTACAGGTGGCACTTACCCCCAACGAGAATTGCGAGAATGTTCAAGAATAAATTGGATAAATGTTGGAAATGTCATCAGATACCTGGTTCATATTATCATATGTGATGGACACGCTCGGATGAAAAAAGATATTGGAGTATAATCCACACATGGTTGGAAAAAATGACAAAACAACACATAGACTTTAAACCTGAGATATTTTTATTGGGAATGATACCAGAAATATATTATAAAGAATTGAAATATTTGATTGTAAATGTTTTAACAGTGACTAGAATTGTATTTGCTAAGAATTGGAAAAATGAAAAAATATCTATACAGGAGGAAATTATTAAGAATATCATGGGCTGTGCTGAAAGGAGTAAATTGACATTTGAAATCAGAGAACAAGAAGACAAACAATTTTATATGATATGGGATTTATTTTATCAATGGTTAGATGAAAAGACATGGTAAAGAAATAGATTAGGAAGTTTTACAATAAAAAGTTAATAGATTGATATAGAATACAATATAAAATATATAACCATTGGATGAATGTATACGATTACATTATAATGAAATTTAGAATATCTCATATAGAATGATGGAAAAATAGTTTAGTCAAATGAATGATTAATGATTGATATTATATAAGCACATGCTAGATTGATAAGGTGAGAATTTATACAACTTGTGAGTAATGCTAAAAAAAAGGATAGCACAAAAGATTGTCACCAACTAACACACTGTATGTATATAATTGAAAGATGGTTTTGTTTTTATGTTTTATTTATATGTTTGTTGTAAAAAATAAAAACTTTATTTAAAAAAAAAGAACAACTAGATAAAAGGACATTGTTTTTACCCCATGCCATCACTCTGTTAAACAACTAATTCCAATAACACTTTCAAATTATCTAAAAGGCAGTATTACCATCATTATTCTCATCTTCCCTATTACCTATCTCCTTCTTATGACTATAACTTTCTTGCTTATCATTTTTGTTATATGTACATTGAGAGCTTATGCACTAGAAACAAATTCCTTATCTGTCTAATCACACTTGGCCAATAAAGAATTCTAGTCTATTATTCTGCTAATAAAGCATATTCCAAAAAGCAGTGAAACATTTCCTAACTATTTCCACTATTCAGTTGTTTTGGCAATCTATATCATATAACATAAAACCATGGAGTACAATTTCAACATTGTATAATAACTCTAGAAATAGTATTCAAAAAAATGAATAGATGAAGCATTTTGAACCTCTAATATATTATTAGGTGTTAAAAAAAATAAGAATGGTTCACTATGATTTATCAATCTATTTCATAAATTGGATTTATTCAAAACTTAAGAACAAAGCAAGGTTGGAGAAATAGAAAATAATATTTCATATACTGTATATGTGGAAACAATTTTGTTTCTCCAATATTCCACATACATATTAACAGGTAAAGCTTAAAAGCTTGCTTTATTCTTATTAAGTTTTGAGTGACAGCAATTTCTGAGATAGATTTCATGTGTGTGTATGTGTGTGTGTGTGTGTTGTGTTGCAAATATCTCCAGGATCAAAATATAGTTGTGGTGGTAGATGTAGCAGTTTTAAGGGACAGAAACATTAGGAGAAAGGACTATGAGAAGCTGCAGAAGTACCAAGGCTTAAAGAAGGAACTGAAGAGGATGTACAACTAAAAGCCAAAGTGACCGGAACACCCAGCAAGAGCTGGAAGAATAGCACCAACAGAACCCAAGAACAATATCAAATCTCTTTCTAATATCAATTCTCTTTCTAAAAGAATACAGTGATATACAACATAGAACTCTCAGCTGATATACAGTGTAGAACTCTCAGGCTTGACATTTGGTAGATAATTCAAGATTGAGGAAGACAAATGCCATCCATAAAGGTGAGAAGACAATATTGTTTATTTGTAATGCACAGTTGGTGCATAAGTTTAGAAGTCAAATGAATTGTGTCTAGAAAATATATGGATATTTATGTGTGTGAATGTGCCTTCTAATCATTCTTGAATCTCAACAGCTGCTGAGACTAGTCCCTGAAATTCTCTTGCAAATATTTTTGGAAATATTTTGCCATAGCCCAGGAGAGTCAAACTAATGTTGTTACAGTGGCATCACATGAAATATCGGGACTTTTTTCCCTTTGCTAAACCAGGCAGGAGCATGGCCAGTGCATGACACATCCGGCCCATAGGCCGTGAGTTTGACAGCCCTGCTATAGCATTTTTCCTAGGACTGAGAGAAAGTGACTGGCCAAAGTCTCCCATTTGGCTTCATTGCTAAGGCTGGACTCTAGATATGCAGCTTAACTACTGCACCAAACTAGCCTTCATCCATTACAATTATGTTTGTGTACATATTTTATATACCTCCTTTGTTTTTTTAAAAACTTTGATAGCAACATAGGATAGGAAAATCTATACTAATTTTTGTAATGCTTAGATATAACTGCTTTTCAGAAATTTTGAATTATTAACTTGTAAACAATTCCTCTTTCTATTTTAAATTACATAGAATTAGAGTTAGGAAATTATCCCAACCATTTAAGCAATATCACCTACATTAAGAACCTACTTGGTTGAAAGTGCTGGGCCAGCTAATGGCTTCCTCATGAATGATGAACATTTGATCAGCAGCAGCCCAGGGATCCAGCTTTCCAACTTTCACTCGATGGAAAGACTGGTTTGGGAATGTGACCCAGTTCTCAATCTCTAATCCTGTAATAAGTTTGCCATTCTGGTCAAAGGAAATTTCATTTCCAACACTGTTGTTAAATGCAACTCTTTTCAAAAAGAAGTGAAGCTGAATATGAAATCAACATGCAAAAACAAACCATGGTTACTATATGTATAGTGCATAGTTTTGCTTCTCTAATGTTAGACTAGAATAGAATAACAGAGTTGGAAGGAACCTTGGAGATCTTCTAGCCCAACTTCCTGCTTAGGCAGGAAACCCTACATCATTTCAGACAAATGGTTATCCAATGTCTTCTTAAAAACTTCCAGTGTTGGTGTGTTCACAACTTCTGTAGGCAAGTTATTCCACTGATTAATTGTTTTAACTGAAATTTCTCCTTAGTTCTAAGTTGCTTTTTTCCTGGATTAATTTTCAACGATTACTTCTTGTCCTGCCCTCAGGTGCTTTGGAGAATAGCTTGACCTCCTCTTCTTTGTAGCAGCCCCTGAGATATTGGAAGACTGTTATCAGGTCTCCCCTAGTCCTTCTTTTCATCAAATTAGACATACTCAGTTCCTGCAACCATTTTTCATATAGTTTAGCCTCCAGTCCCTTTATCATCTTTGTTGCTCTTCTCTGCACTGTTTCTACATCTTTTTTACAACATGGCAACCAAAACTGGATGCAGTATTCCAAGTGTGGCCTTACCAAGGTATTATAAAGTGGTACTAACACTTCCTGTGATCTTGATTCTATCCCTCTGTTTATGCAGCTGAGAACTGTGTTGGCTTTTTTAACAGCTGCTGCACATGGCTGGGTCATATTTAAATGGTTGTCCAGTAGGACTCTGAGATCCCTCTCACAGTTACTACTATTGAGCAAGGCAATACATACATGGTACCTGTGTGTTTTGTTTTTCTTGCCTAAATGTAGAACCTTACTTTTTTCACCATTGAATTTCATTTTGTTAGCTAGAGCCCAATGTTCAAATCTGTCAAGATCCTTATGTACTTTAAGTCTATCTTCTGGAGTGTTGGCTATTCCTGCTAGCTTGGTGTCGTCTGCAAATTTGATTTTCCCCATCTATCCCTTTGTCCAAATCATTGATGAAGATGAATGAATGTACAACCAAACTCATACATGCAAGCCTGTACAATGCCATCACTACACTGGGACTGGATCAATTAGTAACTAACAACACTAAACTCAACAACTGCCTTGACCTCATCTTCTGCAACAGATCAAACTCAATTTATGGCCAACAAATACAAGAACCCTTTTCAAACAGTGACCACAGCATGGTTGACTTCTGCCTCAATTTACGCCCTCACAAAAAGGATCACAATGATGGATCCCCAAAATACAATTTCAAAAAAGCCAATTATGATCTCATAGCTGCCGACCTATCATTTCTTGATTGGCACATTCTGTTCTCTTGCTGTAATACTGAAAACCATTATAATGTATTCTTGCTTGAACTCGAAAGAGTTATTGAACTATATGTACCATTAGTAACCCACAAATCAATATTCCTAGTTGTATCACAAATAATTGCAGTGATCTACTACATATTGATTTTACAGAAGATAACATAGAAAAGGCACTAAGTAACTTAAAACCATCCCTATCTATTGGCCCTGATGGATTATGTGCATACTTTTTAAAAAAGCTCTCCACTGCCATAGCAGAACCCCTAAGCATAATATATGAGATATCATTCAGAACCAGCTCCTTACTGAACCTATGGTCCTTAGCAATGGTCATCCCTATCTTCAGAAAAGGTGACCCCACCCTGGTTGAAAACTACAGACCTATCTCACTGTGTTGCATTACATGTAAAGTCATGGAATCAGTCATTAACCAAACCATTACCCTCCACTTAGAGTCAAACAACTAACTCTTCAAAAACCAATTTGGTTTCAGAAAAAAATTATTCTGCAATCTGCAACTCCTACACTGTAAAAATATATGGACTACTCTACTCGACCAGGGTAAAGCAATAGACACAACTTCCATAGACTTCTGCAAAGCCTTTGATTCAGTAGTACACAACAAACTACTGTTAAAACTAAACTCTTAGGGCATGTCCGGATCCCTTCATAAGTGGATTACAGTGTTCCTGTCAAACAGGCAACAAATAGTAAAAATAGGGAGCACCCTATCAAACCCTGCACCTGTTAACAGTGGTGTCCCCCAAGGAACCGTTCTAGGACCCACACTCTTTATACTCTATATAAATGACCTTTGCGATCAGTTTATAAGCAACTGCATCCTCTTCACGGATGATGTAAAACTATTCAATACCACCGACAATGCTACTGCTCTTCAAAGTGACCTTAATTATGTGTCTGAATGGTCAAACAATTGGCAACTACATATTTTGACCAACAAATGCTCTGTCCTATACATTGGTAAAAAAATCAGTACAACAAATACAAGCTAGGCGGATATGACCTTGTTGATGACCCTCACTCTGTCAAGAACCTTGGTAATATTGAATTGCTAACGAGGGCATATAAAACATTTGCTAGACCAATACTCGAATATAGCACATCTGTCTGGAATCCACACTGTATATTGGACATAAATACAATTTAGCGAGTCCAGAAGTATTTCACAAGAAGAGTACTACACTCCTCTGCTCACAACAGAATATCCTACACCACCAGGCTTGAAACTTTGGGCTTGGACAATCTTGAATTACACTGCTTATGGTTGGACTTAAGCATAGTACCCAAAATTATCTGCTACAATGTCCTACCAGTCAATGACTACTTCAGCTTCGACTGCAACAATACAAGAGCACACAACAGATTCAAACTCAATGTTAAGTGCTCCAAATTTGATTGAAGAAAGTATGACTTCAGCAACAGTGGTCAATGCCTGGAATGTACTACCTGTTGCTACATCCTCAAACCCCCACTCCTTTAATCTTAAACTATCCACTATTGACCTCACCCCATTCCTAAGAAGTCTTTAAGGGACATGTATAAGTGCAACATTGTGCCTACCATCCCTGTCCTATTGTCCCCATTTATCTGTACCTATTTCCTGTATTCATACTCATGTTTATTCTTATACCTATCACTTTGTAAGTGATTGACAAATCAAATAAATAAATAAAATAAAATAAAAATGTTGAAGAGTACTGGGCCTAAAACAGAGCCTTGGGGTACCCCACTGCATACTTTCCTCCGTGTTGATGCAGTTCCATTGAGGACTACATGTTGAGTGCAGTTGATCAGCCAGTTAGAAATCCATCTGGTAGTGATTCTGTCTAACCCACATGTTTCTATTTTATCAAGTAGTAGGTTATGGTTCTACTTTATTAAATGCCTTACTGAAGTCCAAGTAAATTGCATTGACAGCATTCCTCTGGTCCACTAATTTTATCACTTTGTCAAAGAATGCAATAAGATCAGTCTTCCATGATCTGTTTTTGTTTTCCTCAGTAAAATCCACAATAGTCTATTCTTCACTATATTTTACTGTTTCACATTCTATTTTCTGCTTGTCTTTCCTTGTATGCAGGAAAGAAATACAATTTGGATACAAGCTGGTTAGTTTTTCTATCTTTAATTCCATGGTTAGTCTTCTGAAGACAATGTACAAACGTTCTTCCATCTCTCATTTCTACAGAAGTTTCTGAAAGTGAGCTTAGAAACAGAACAATAAGTATTTCTGTTTATATACATTTATCTTAACCTTTTAGATGCCCTTTCATCTCTTGCATTTTATTCACAAACTAATTCAATTAGTCTTCTATTAGGCTGTCATTTAATAGCTGCATGAAAAGATATATTTTTGAAAGCCTGGTTCTTTTCTCATACAATGTAGAAGAAATACAAATATGCTTGGATTGAACTAAATACCACAGACGAATCAAAATCCAATCATGAAACCACAGGCACATAATTTCTGCTGCATGGTAGTGTGTGCACAATTATTTGACTCCACTCTACATTCATTATTCTTTCTTTTTCAAGCACAAAGGCAATGGCTTATAGCTTTGGAAATATTTCATCTTAAAAAATCAAACAGAAACTTCTAGTTCTTCCAACTCCTGTGTCTATTTAAGGATTCACTATTTTGGGCCCATACCATTATTGACAAAAATGCTTCTGAGGATGATACTTAAAAAGAGGCAGTCAATTTGATCAAACAGTTCTTGTAACTAACAGAATTAAAGCTTCTTATAGCAGAGTCATTTTCTTTTCCATTTGGTTCAAAATGCTTATCTAGGTAGCTTCTTCAGTACATGTCTTCCAGAGTGGTTTTATTTCTCACTTAACCTTAATAAGCTATGGAGGTGAGTAGACAAAGAATCATTGTATGTGAATGTTCTTTCCTCTACATTAAACCTTGCCATCCTGGTGGACTTTTGAAGTGATCTTAATCTTCCTGGAGACTGATGAAAGAGCAGACTAACCAATGGTTGTGCCTAAAGCCTGTACCATGACTCAACTAAATCTGCTACAGCTATCAGGAAGAGAGGCAGAGAATAAGTGAGCTGTGAAAAAAAGTACAGAGAAAGTTTAATTTCACAAAAAAGAGAAAAAAATAAAGAAAACCGCAGAAGGCATTACTAACTTTCCATCTACATCCCACTGCTCTTTGTAGCCAAAAGACTGTAAGATGCTAGAAAATCAGTGCAATTTAAATTTGATTTCCAATATATTTGATTATTCATAAAAATTACCTGCCATGGCTGGAGATCCTGAAGACCAAACTTTTTTCCATTCAACTTTTGCCTATATTGTTGACCCAACTTCATGGCATGTAAAGCATGTGCCACAGTGTACACTGCATTGTATATACTGTAACTATGACACATCATCCTCATTTCAAAAAAAGTTCCGGGAAGGCTCTCCAGTTTCTCCTTCCCTGTACAGACATCTTCCATTTCCTCATTCACAGATGGATTTGGAAACACACAACCAAATGCGTGCTCCCATACTTCCTTCAGGAAACCATCTTCTTTTGCTGAGAAATGGTTTCTTGTCTGGAGAAAATGTTGGAAACTTGCAATTTCATTTGAGTAAGGTGAAAAGCTTAGAGCACCATGAAGGACTTGGATATCCCAGCTCTTCTGATAAAAGAATGAGGCAAGACTCATTTGGGAAGCCATGATCCACACTTTACCTTTTGGCTTTACAGAAACCATTTCCATTTCAGGTAGATATAACAACCATCGTAAATTTGCAAGATCATTATCATTGATTATGATAGCTTTGGCTTTGCTGCTAACAAGAATATGAAAAGTTTTTAGTATAAATTTCAAACTAGCAATATAATTTGTGAAATACACTGGTTTGAATTGTTCTAAGAAAGCAATACAGATTCTATGGACTGCAAATATTGAGAAGATTAGGTGCTGAAATGTTCTTCCACCAAATCCATAAACAAGTATACCAACCCAAGTCCACCTGAAGTGCAAAAGTAGTTGAATAATTCCCTTGTAATAAAGTTCTTCACCTGGAACCATGTGGTAGTAGAAAGGGCTTTCATTAGGAGAAGACCCTGTTGAAAACTATGGAAATAAAAATAAGAAAAGAATGTAGAAATAATAGAAAAATATAGTGAAAATAAGATTGACAAAGGAAATGTGTATCCACTTTAAATTAAAGATTCTGAAATGTTAGCATATCTTCCTATGTAGTTTCTTAGTATAATAACAATGGCAATAGCATTTAGACTAACATGCCATTTCACAGTGCTTTAAAGCACTCTCTAAGCAGTTTACAGAGTCAACATATTGCCCTCAATAATCTGCGTCCTCATTTTACTAAATTTATAAAATACAGACTCAGAATCAGAAGGATGGAAGGTTGGGTCAACCTTGAGCCAGTCAGGATAAAACTCCAGAAGTAGGCATAGTTACCCTGCAATACTGTATTCTAACCACTATGTCACCTTGGCTTGATTACTTACTGTTGTGGGTCTAGAGCATCTTTATGTTCCCTTCAAACTCTACAATATTACAATTATCTGAATTCAGGAGCACTGAAAAGAGTCTAACATCTGAATCCTTGCTTTGACTTATGGTTTATATTTATTCCTTCCTTCCTTCCTTCCTTCCTTCCTTCCTTCCTTCCTTCCTTCCTTCCTTCCTTCCTTCCTTCCTTCCTTCCTTTCTTCCTTCCCTCCCTCCCTCCCTCCTAGTTAGCTTGCCCAAGGGTCAAAGGACTCCTGGCAACAATACCTTGATATATAAAATAAAGCATAATAACAATGAAATAATAAATAATGCAATAGCAAATAAGAAGAAATTACAAAATTCCATGAGAAGGGTGTGTGTTTGTGTGTGTGTGTGTGTGCATGCATGTGTACAATACATTAATACATTAATGCATTTTATTTTGAGTTTTAAAGTTTTTTTTTAACTCCCTTCCTAAAAAAATTTGAAATAGGGTAAATAAGCTTTACCCTATTTCAGACTTATATGAACTGCTATTCCTTATGTACTTCTTGATGTAGAGTGTTAACTGAGCCAGCTGTATCTCAAAGGGTATTCCAGTAAGTTTTCTTCAAGTATCTGTTCAGTTTAATTAAGATACTGAGGAAAAGAGACAAGACATCAAGGAGGACTTATTAGGATCAGAAAGTATTTTTGTTCTGAATTACTAATGGCAATGAGTGGCATGGTGGTCTAGTGGTGAAAATGCTTGCCTCTCACTAAGAAGGCTGACAGTTAAATCCTAGGTAGCAACAGATGTTTCTCTCTCAGGGCGCAAAAAGAAAATATTTGTTGCAAATTCCATGTGGGCATCAGGAATAGCCTGTAAATACTTAGCTCCATTCAGATGCCCTGACTCTACCCAAAATTAATTGATTACGGGGTTATAAAAAGAAAAAAAAACATCATCAATGGTAATGAGGCTTCTGATTCTGCTCACCTTGAATCTGCTGTAATGACTTAGTATTGTTCTAAATTAAAGGAGGTTTCCTTTTAATTAAAATATATTGTTTACTAAGATTTAATGTTTGAATACCTTTCCAGTATGTATTCTTTTCTTTTTTGCATTACACAACAACCTTCTCCCTATATTGATAAGTATACTCTTTGATCATGATGACCTCTAACTTCAAAAGAATGCTGTGAATAAGCTCTGGATAAACAGTGAGAAGACCCCAGTTCAAGTCCTTAGCATGATTGTTCACTGGTTAATTTAGGGCTAATTTAGGGTTAATTTCTTAATTAAACCTACCTCATCTGACAGTTATAGGGGAATTATTTGGCATTAAGATGGTTTTAGGGAAAAACAACTTTGCTGTGGATCATTGTATTAATGAATGTGTCCATATTCATATAATCATGATTTGAGCACTTCACAACCAGTATGCATTTACGATTATCACAGCTCCAAAAAAAATCACATGATTCCCATTACAAAAGCTTCACAGCCATATTCCAGTAAAAAGATTTAATGGAGACCATAGAAGTTAAACCACAATTAATCTTGATGTGATGTTAAGTCTTTATGCCCACATTCACTTAATAATGAAAGTGAAACTGAGGATTTAAGACTGCCACAGTATTTTTTTTAATTAGTGAGTGTGGCACTAATTTTAATTAGTGAGTGTGGAGTTGCTAATCCCAGTTGTGATCCATAAGTGAGGATTACCTGAAGGAGGAGAAAGCACTATTTATGCCTCCTTGAACACCTGGATGAAAGGCAGGTTATAAATCTAATAACGCCTAAAATATCACTAAATTTTAGAAACATTGTAGTTTTTTCTCTCTCATCATATTAGCAACTTTCATGTAACTTTTATCATCAATCTTTGAAACTCAATAATAGCTACAACACATTCTAAATTTCTGTTTGTTTTATTTTATGATATATTAAACACATTTTCTTAAACAAGCTCCATGAAGTGCATGAAAGTTAATTATATATTAAGGTCCACTATAGTCTAAGAAAAAAATCCAATTTATCTTACCTGTGGAACTTTGTAAGTGTCTAAAATATCTACCAAAAAGATTCCTGGATCAATAGTCCCAACAACTGATGTAAGTTTGTTCAAACTGCCACACTTGTAATTGGGAATGAATCTGTTCTGACTGGAGAAAAATTCCATTTTGGCATGATAGCCACCATACCTATCACAGATTCTGAAGCCCAAGGTAATATTAGGTAAGAGTTGAAGCTCTTCATTGATCTTCTTAACAGCAAATATCATGGCCAAGATATGCTGATAAAACTTAGTCAGGACTCTGTAAAGGGAACTAGATGTTGTATCAAAGAAAATTCTCTACATAAAAATTATGCTCCTTGAAGAAAAATATTTTACAAAGAGATGATGACTCTTTCATATTAACTGAATAAAGCCATGTCAAAATAAAGTATTAGAAAGTAATTGTCATTGATTCATGTTAATATATTATTAGTCATTATAAAAAATATGGAATTATTTTGAGAGGAATAATAATGGGATTTTTCTTTCATTTTGCTATTGTTAATCAATTCTGATTATGTGAAGCTGCTGACCAGAATCATTGCCAAGCATGTAATATGGATATTAGTATTGTATAGCTGTGAAGTAAAATCGGCTTAATCACTTTTTCTTACGCATATGGTGGTTTCATTTTAATTTAATTACAAAAACTGGCAAACATGGCATATATTTAGAATTTTGTCTGACTTAAACAAGGTATATAAAGACTACAGAAATATTCAAATATCTCTGAATGTCAAAGAATCTATTACAATTCAATCAAAATTCAAAGTGGGTTTTCCCCCCTTGAAATATTTGTAAACATTCATGATAGTGATGTAATTTTTATGGCCTTGATACTCTTTGGTATAAAATGGTACATTGAGTAGAAATTAGTTAAGAGAACTAAGAAAACTGAATGAGGATGTTAACAATTAAAGAACATTCAGAGTGTATAGTTCTGTCTTGCTCCTTCCCAGCACTTTCAGTTCATTAAAATATTATCTCTGGAAGAAAACTGCATGTCTTATTTATTAAAGTAAACTTATGTTGTATCTCTTATTGAATATTATTATTCCTTTAGTTTGGTGCAAATTCACATTTTTTGCAGAGTCAGTTTTAGAGGCTGGTGCTGTAATTTGCATCCCAAAGGAAGGGACAGAGTGTTGGGAGAGAGATACCTATCTTGCCTAAATCCATTAGCTAGAAGTTATTGAAAATTTGATAGTAATAATGTGATGCTTATAGCCTAAATAACTTGATTGCAGTGGTCATAATGAAAAAGTTGAAGGAAAATAATTAAGTGAACTAATAAAGGCAGAATAAGGACTTTACAAATAAAAACATTTGGAGCATGTTGTACCTTTTTTCCTCACCCCCCCATCCCTCCAAGGTTCTATCAGCTTATATGAAAATTAATACTGAAAGAAGACTGCATGCCTCATTTACTGAAATAAACATGCTATATCTCTGACTGTACATAATTATTCCTACAGTTCTGTACCATTCCATATCTTCTGAGAACTCAGATTTAGAAGCTATAATTCCCACCCTGAGAGAAGGGACTGGAAGCTTGTGGGTGGGATAATTATTTGTCAGAGACTACTGGCTATGAGATATTGAATAATTAGTTGGATTCTTTGCTTTGATTTAAAGTACATAGGTTTTACCTTTTGTTTTCCTTTACCAAGTACTAAGAAATCATTTATAAACTGAAAAAAATCATCCTATTTAAACATAGCTGGGAAAGATTGTTTTTAATCACAAAGCTAATAATGATACATATAAAAACTATACTACAGAATTTGATCTAGATTGATACAGACTATGGAAAGAAAACAGTGTCTTACAAAGATTCGCTAATAAGAGAATGATGTGGATCTTGCTCAAACCTTTCTGCATCTCTGGTTGGGAACACAAGAGAAATAATGTCACCAACGATTAGGTCACCTGGCTGGAAATATTTGTGAACAATTGGGATAGGATCTTGGATACTACATTTTATTGGTTGTGTATTAGAAGCCCTATATGGCAATAGCAGTAGGAGAAGAATCAATATCATTGTAATAAATATTAATCTCAATTTTACAAAGTTTCTCTCAGTTGCACACATCTTAAACCTCCCCAAAATGTGGCAAACTTGAACTGAATCTCTTTCTGTCCTTCACAAGATTTTTGTAGCAAATCTTAGAATGCAAATGGGTCAGAACAATCAGAATGATTGTTCTACCTGTCCCTAAATTCTAAAATATTTAAATGTCCATCAACACTTAGGCCTCATGCTTCCAAGGGTTATAATTGATCAACCAAGAGTCTGAGGAATAGCAAAATAATAATACTCTTTTTCATAATTATAAGGGGAAGAGAAAATTGCACCCTTCAAATTATTAATGGAATAGTAAGGGTGGAATGAGTCATCATACAGTAAAGGAAAAGATTTTGAGATAAATGAAAGTTTTATGTGACAAAATTCATGTAGTGTACTTGAGCCAGCCAAAAACTTTAGCAAAAAAAATTCAGAATGTGTAAAGACATATATCTGCACTTCTTTGCAACAAGATGCAGTTTTTCCCCTGTAGTTACCTCAACAACTATAATAAGATCCTAGTAAAAGTTCTTTTTGGCTTAAAAGGTAATTGCATATCACCATGAAGGCAAATGCAAATGTTTCTAAATATTGTTATACAAACATGACTTTAAAGCAAGAACTACCATGTTTTCCCAAAAATAAAACTTACCCCCCAAATAACCCATAGCCTGATTTTTAAACATGCACCTAATATAAGCCCTATCCCAAAAATAACCCCTAGTGAAGATCCTCATCAGCCGGGGGGGAGGGCATGGCCAGCACCAGAGGTTGGGGGGGAGGTTGATGGCACAGCACAGATGAGTTGATTACTTCTCCAAGTAGCAGAAAGAGGCAGAGGCAGGGCAAGGCACACAATCCAGATGGGCAGAGATGGTATTTAGCCATTCTGACCAGTTCTGGAGAACTGGTAGCAGAAATTTTGACTAGTTTGGAGAAACGGCAAATACCACCTCTGACTGGAGATTTTATAGTATCCTTCCCCTGCCATGCTCACCAAGCCATGCCCACAGAACCAATAGTAAAAAAAAATGAATCCCATGACTGCAGATGAGCCACATGGGCAGCCATGGGAGGCTTGCTTTTGTGTAGTGTAGTGGCACCAACAGCAGATGGAGTCAGAGGTGCAGGGGTAAGGTAGGGTTAAGGCAGATGATCCAGATGCTCTTCACAAGCCACAGGCAAGTTGAGAAGTGCAAAGATGAGCCTCCTCTGTCTGACTGTCCACTCTATCTCACCATCTCTTGGCTTGCCTGTGGCCTGTGTGGCATGTCTGAATTGCATGCCTCCCCCACAATCCTGCCATCTGCTGCTTGGACAGGTAATCAACTCACCTGTGCTGCATGGGCTGCACAGTCCTAGAGTGCATCACCCAAGGGCCCAGACAATGGTGCTGACAGATGTTTCCCCCTTGTGCTCACAACCTTTTGTGTGTGTTCCAGCGGAAGGGGCTGATCACCCTGAAATTGTGTTTTCCTGAAAATGAGCCCTAGTGCTTATTTTGGAATATATATATATATATATGTGTGTGTGTGTGTGTGTGTGTGTGTGTGTGTGTGTGTGTGTGTGT